TTCCCGAGGGTAACTAACTGAGTTAAGCCAGTTCCTCTAGTTAATGGCAGCCATCTGCACGAAACCCATCTTTGCGGCCAAATCAACGAGCAGTATCACAATGATTTTGTCCAAAAGTGAAAATTTCTCATCAGTATCTATCTCACGTGGTTACATAGCCCACTGTCGTATAATCCATTGATTATGAATTCTGGAAGATGAGAAAACGTTTGCAATCGTATAAGTAAACAATCACGACAAAGATGTTTCTGTTTAAACAGCACCTCAGAAGGGGTGTTCAGGGATTATCTGAGAAGTGATTCTTAAGTAGGAAGGACAGAAAAGATTACATTCGATTGGAAAGCACATTAGAACAAATTTAGGTTCGATAGTCTGCCAAAAATAGACCAAAGCATTGCAGGTCGGGGATCACAAAGAAGTCTACAGCAAGTACAGGGAGTAAATACATCATTTAAGGAACTGTTCATCCTATTTCGGGAAGTGACACAAGCCAGAAAGGTTTTGTGGCAATGACCTTTACTTAAAATGGACTCTCAAGAGGAGGAGATTCGTTAAAACAAATAGTCCATTAAACAATTGGTTTTAAATCCTATGGTACAAGACGACTATTATGAACCTTGCTCCCATTCGGCAGATTCGGATTTGGTCACTAGTTTTATCAAGCCCGCACCGCTAAATAGCATTTCGGGTCTGTGAAGCATCCGAAAAATAAGAGGATGGGGTGAGGATGGAGATGAACACGTACACATTTGGGTTAGTGATCTACAACAGTGGTTGATTAAGCATAATTCATTTGGATGAAGCTGGAAATCGAATAGATTCTAGAAAACGGATGATTAGAGTACCGAAGTGAAAACAAGAAACGTCAGGGGATGGATGATGATGGTGGACGTTGTGCAAATCATCTACGCATTGGTAAAATAGGATGATAAGCCGAAATGACTGGGGGCACTACCTGATCACAGCTGTGGTAATTAACTCGAAAGACGACTGTGTTCAGACAATGATATTTTCTCAACAGAACATCATGTGGACAATTTTAACTTTAAAACAGGAGAGTTTCAGTCTCTCACTAAGACATCCTCACATCAGACTTCCTTTAAGGGAAAGCTTATGAAAGCAAAGAGGGGAAGCGTGAAAACTTGTTATCTGCTGCTACCAGTGGAATTGGGTAAACCCGAAATACCGTGTTGCCAGGACTTGAATAGTGTAACTGCTTGAATTCTCAGGATCCATATCGTAGGAGCAGAGGCTAGGTACGACTCGAGGTGGTTCAGTGGGTAAGACGTGAACTTACTGACCGGAACACCTGTAGTTCCACCCTAACCTGGGCATCTTGACTGTTTCTGTTTGGGCTTGGGGCCCCCAAAAGTATCTGAGCTCGTAAGTTCCCTTCGGGCGTCATGGAAGCTAGACATCGAAAGGGTGTTACAGCTGCGCGATTAGTTTATTTATTTTATTATGTAATAAGAGCAGCTAGGGGATAGCAGTCACAACATTTTGGATTTAGGTCCAGATCTGCGAATAAAAAGACCACGGAAAATGCAGTTATCGCTTCGTAAGTTCCCTGCGTCATGGAAGCTAGACATCGAAAGGGTGTTACAGCTGCGCGATTAGTTTATTTATTTTATTATGTAATAAGAGCAGCTAGGGGATAGCAGTCACAACATTTTGGATTTAGGTCCAGATCTGCGAATAAAAAGACCACGGAAAATGCAGTTATCGCTTCAGGGACATTAGAATCCATGTGGAATATTGTGAATTCTCAACATGCCAGGTCATCTTAAATCTCAGGCTTGTTTATCTAGAAAGTTATTACGGTTGATCAGTAAGCGTTTCTTTTTGAAACGAAATTTGCACGTATTAAACAAGCCCAGCAATCGTCCATTTTATGCTTGTCTACTCTGACTGAGTGGTAATTTTCGAGAACTAACCGGGACTTTGAATCGCGTGACATGCGTACCTACAGAGGGCTTCAGGGCTTTTCAGTATGAACTGACCTCATTGACAGGGTAACACTTCTAGTTAAAGCTCTAAATCTGTCCCCATGTGCGAAATTTAATTGTTCCTCTCAGAAAGATAGCACAATGCACGGTTTTTGCACCTAATTCGGCACTTGAGAAGCGGCCAATAGGAGATCACTTTGTGTGAACTGCGGGATCCAAGGATGACGGCGTTTTTATTCTGTCCAGTTGAGAATTATACACATCTTTTATCAGTTGCCTAGAGCCGAATGGTGACATTTTCAACTGGCAGTCAGAAGCTCACAGGCTTGAGGATAAATAACGATTCTTGAGATGCACACCTCTGATGATTCCTAACGAGGGATGAAACATGAATTGAAATTAGAAGTTTCCTCGTAATCTTCAAATCACCCATCGCATCAGTGCACTTAAATGTCTTTGAACAAACTGGCAGTTATGGTGATTTTGGCATCCGCATCCCGGACCACTATCTATTATCTAAACGCCTATATAATGAGCGATAAAGTAGAAAAGCGATTAGCTTGAAAGCAGCAAATCGATATAAGGCGACATACTGTCACCTGTATCATAGCTATTCTTTATTAATAGTGACCGATTTGACCTTACGAGACCACTTAAAGTACTGCATGTGCATACGTGCTTGTCAGCAGATCTCTATTAACCGGCTTAAATGTACACAAACCTTTTAACTAAACCATACGGTTGCTCCGAGACGGTTAGACTTGACTTAGGTCAACAAAATTTTAGTAACTGTGGTGAAGTTTTTATCATATAGTTTCATCGCGTTCAGTCCTGCAAGCAGTGGCAGATTCACAGCGGTATGTACAAGCTCTGCAAAACCTGATCCATCCCCAGACATGCCTAAAATTTTGTTCTCAACGTCTACGAAGTCCCCAATTACTACCTAACACAAGTAGTGAAATGCACTCTTCTGAAACTCAGGTTGGTATTCACTTGGAGCCTCAAACGAACTGCCGCTGAATCTTTTGTTTTGAATATTCTTTACCCGCGTTTCCCCACGCTCGTTTGATGTTCTTACGTTGTCTGATATTCCTGCGTTGATCAATCGGAGGATGCCAGGTTAACCTGTAACTCCATTCGGAATCCTATCACTAATTCCGTATTCATGCAACTTGTGTTCGTTGGCTGTTGTCTACCCCATTAGTGTTCCCTATGGAAAACTTTTGTTATGACATGAAGGTCATCCACTATTTCATACCAGGGTTATCGTGAAGGACTACTCTATCGTTTACAGCTGCAGACAGTTCTTTAAAGCACTGGCTGAACTGCGGCCGCTTGTGTTTGCGAGCGGTACGCAGCCACTACATATCTTGAATTTCTGTTAAGAGATACAGGAAATATGAAGCCTACAAACTTATCAGCAAGTGAAGATATTGACAACGAGGTAAGTCAAAGGTAGGTATGAAACTGTGCATAATACTCACCTGAGGTGTCGCCCTCATTTTTTCGTGGTTTGAGCTCTACAGAATTTTTAGATGTGGTTGTCAGTAACGATTTGGTAGTTAGGTTACGCTGAACAACGAAAACAACAAAAACAACACATTTGATTGCAACGCATTATTGCTTATTTCCCTCACACTCAGTGTGTCTGCTGAACGCAAGTATGGTTTGATTATAGAATCAATGTCAAGCGAATTGAACGAATGAATGTGCGTGTGACGAGCAGGCGACCAGAAGACTTGGATATTACCAACATTATGAATGGCTGTGGTCGGGTGCTACGTGCGTCGGGCTACACTGAAGAGGAAGTCATCCCCAGGTTCCAGTCCATATCACCGGCTTGAGTTTTAAAAATAAGTTGCGGGATCGAGATTTTGCAGAAGAGAGTGACAGACGTTTGCTTGAGGAACTTCCAGGAATCTCAGTCCTCATGGGTTTTAAGAAGTGGTAGTAAACAACAATCTCATAGAGTTACTCGAAATATCTGGCAGTGAAAGGTTAGATTCAATCATGAGAAAGATGGTCACCTATATGAATGGGGTCAGACCAACTGTTAAATTATGGATGACGAAAGACTTCCATTCGCGAAAATAAGACGCCAAACTTACAATGCGGAGCTTAATGCGAAGGCATTCGGTCACTCTTAAAACTACCTCAAAGCTCTGGGTATACTGATCATGTCTCTTTTATTAAATAGAGTGTAATGGCATCTAGGGATTCGGGGATGAACTGTGATACTGGGAAATTAATTAGATCCTTCCGAGAAATTCGTGAAATGTCTATTGCTAATAAATTTCAGTGAGGGTAGAACGGCTGCACAACGTTTCTCGGCGAAGACTAATTCCAGTTACCGGATAAATTCTCTAAATCCTCTCATTACCCACAGACTATGAAATCAATTTGCATCCTTTGTTAATCTCTCATTGGTCAGTCGGCATCTTTACCCCTCCGGGAGAATTCTCAGAAAAATTTTCCAAACGAGAAAGCTCTGAAAAATGTTCCAAAAGGGAACATTTTACCTAATTTTGCCGTCATACATTAGTAAGCGGTTTCATTGAGAAAAATCCGAAGGTACTTGGCATATCGTCCTGTGCAAATGGAAAAGCTCCCAAGCACAAAAACACTTTAACAGACTGATCCACACAGAAACGAGAGCTGATTGGTTAAGGACTTACTAGTGCAGTAAATCATGGTAACATTCTAAACAGTCGCCAGTTTGGTGCAATTCCAGGTTCCCTCACTAAGCCTGCCTTAGAGAAACGCCGCTTCCCCACCTCATTACGGAGTTTCAAGGAAAGGATCATTGAAATTTTATTTTGCACGCAGCACAAAGCGGTCATTCTAGTCTACGAGAATGTGTCGCCGGAAAATACAGAAGTCGGTCCCATTGTCATCGAGACTAGCATCAGCATCATTATCATAGTGGTCGTAGTCGTTATCGAGAGATAACCAGATAAGTGTTGGGCTGTCATGATAACCAGGGGAAGAATAGCTTATTGGGTGCAACAATCAGTCATACATAAAAGTGTAGTAATAAAATGTGAAGGTCAGAAGCACAACCCACATATCCGTTAAAACATGCTGATCAAAATGGCATGCTAATTTGTCCCTAGTAAGACTTCGTAGAATCCGAACAAATTCAGCCATATCAGAGAAGGGATTATTTTCTGAAGGAATAAGTACTCAGACACTTGTGATTAGTGTGTGCAGTTGCAGTCTCACTGGAGAGCAAGAGTTGTTAGGTAGAGAGGATATTGCAATTATACGAGTAATTATGCCCGCCATCACCCGCCATCAGATAAAACAGGATATTCACGTCAGGTAAGAGGACAGATCCCAACGAAATCTGGAGAATTCCGAAGGAACTATTTATCTTAAACTATACAACCGTCAATGATAAGATCCTGTATAAGTTCTCCGTCGTTTGAGCAACTTCACTGCTGCAGGGAATTGACAGTCAGAAAAAATGGATGGTTTTGCTAGTAACTGAAGTATACGGTAGTGTTTTAAATTTATCTATCATCAACAGACATTCCATATCGCTCACAGTATAGAGTTAACCATATGAGTGAGAAAAAATAATCACAAGCAGATGCGCTACAAAACAGGGAACACAGGGTAAATTTATCCTTCTCAATGGCGCTGATCAATAAAAGTTATGGTTTGTGACGAATGGTTGTTATGGCAAAGGGTGTGGCAAGCCCATCAGCTACAAGGATGGAAAACATTTAAACTATATGATCAAAGATGATCACAAACTTGCTGTTCCATATTTTCCAGCTTCCATGAGTATGCCGATTGTTGCGTATTGTTGAATTGTACACGCACAACACCGGTGAAAGGTGTGCCGGGGTGTCTGAAGCTACCTTACAAGTAGTGCATCACATCAGAAGGATATACTTTGCTATCTCGGATATCACACCTACTGAGACGAGAGGTAGTCCCTGTGCAGCAGATTCAGTTGAAAGAGACTCAGTCAAACCTCCACAATAGATCAAGCCACTTCCCAAGGAAGGAGCAGCTGTAAATGAAATGTTGAGAAAAGTGTCAAGACCCATGTAACATACTAATTTCTGGCCTAGTAGGGATAGTTCAGGAGCCGAAACACAGGTCTGAGCAGAGATCCCGGGTTTCTTATTCACCTAAAGGCTATGTTGGCGGTGCTAAAAAGTTGAAGGACACATTAGTTGATTAGACAGTCCAGTTCGGAGTCACATAAAAGCTGTGATGTAAAGGTGTCTGGTGCAAGAATTTCGATTACACACACAACACAGTGCATAAGTTAAAACCAGAAATTGCCCACAACCAAGAACAAGATTTTCACCGGTAGTTGTTTTGCATTTGTCTTGGTTCAGGTTGATCATGCGGTTTACCAGCCAGGCCAGTTCAAAATCTTTTAGATTTTGATGTTCCCTTCGTAAACGATCCGTGTTGACTGCTATCCCAAAGATATGGAGGT